TCCTCATAGATTATGCAAGAATTTATAATTTTGCAAGACATGGTAATATTATATGAAAATGATTGGTACGATATGAAAAATGTTTGGTGATGTAGATTGTAGGCAATATTGGACATACCTAATATAGATTATGTCCAATATTATAACATGTAACTATATAAGAAAATGATTGGTATAAAATGATTGGTACACAGTTAGTTCAACACATTTTTTTCTATATTTCTTCAGTTTAAGTATTAAAAATATATTCTAATATAAGTATAGTCTTGTGTACATAATTATATTTTTAAGTTTATTTATTTTTAATTTCAAACTTAAAAATAATAATGTTTTAACAAATGTATTAACTCAGAATATATATCAACCACTATCCAATTATATAAATATTACTGTCTTTATTTCAATTATCACGTCAAAGTTTTTTAAAAAGAGGTGTTTAACATCTTAAACCCTACACATTACAAATATTAGAAGTATGCATATATAACAATACAGAGTTTCAAATCTCAACTCCTATAGGTCAAAACAGCTAGACATTAATAAGCATACAACATTAAGGCCTTTTACTATCAGCTTCCTCCCTCTCCACTCTTGCCTTAGCCAAGAAACTTTAATCTCTGACTTCTGTTATGGAAAGAAATATGTCTCTACACGTTCTCGTTTAATAAACAAACAAGTTCCCAACAAATACAGGCCATCACCAACTTCAACACCAGGGCACTAGAAGATGCTTCATATTTCTTCTTTGATGAATCACTTAAACTAACAGAGGTAAACCTTTTAATCATATCACAAGTACGGTTAATTTGCTTATGCATGAATGCTGTGCCCTCATTTGTTGGTTTCTTCCTTTACATTCATCTGTTGAACAAAATACATTGAAAAAGAAGGATATACTGTGTTGAACTGAAATATGTACTAATCACTGTCATTTCTCTTTTCATCACTTTTCATGCCTGTGTAGAATGACATTCACATCGTTAGAAACTCCCGTTCAACTAATACTTAATAGTGGATTTTTTTTTTCCTGGCCAATAATAGTGGATTTAAAACTAATTAAAAAACCCAGAGATGTAATATTTGAGGAGAATGTAAGTGCCAATAAAAAGAAAGAGCACATACCTTTCAAGATTATGGTTTACGAGCACAATTACGACGTAAAAAGTGTCAGTGAAAGCAGATAAATTTTAGTATCATAGGCAAGACAAAGTAAAATAGGAACAAAACAACCCTGAAGCCTAGAAATTGGGTTTTGCCTCCAATTTTGGGGTCTCCGTCTGCGTTGGGGAATCGAGTTTGTTTAGAACAGCTTTTAAATCAGCAATGCAGCTCTAACGCTTCATATCAGGAAGGGACTCACCAACCTCTTAAAAGGGGAAGCCAAGGTTGGAAAAAACAGGAGTAAGGAGGTTGGACAGATTACCAAATTTAGGTCTATTGAAAAAACAGTGCAGGAGGAGGAGATCGTCATTTGAAGAGGACCTGCCTAAGGATTTGGAAGAAAGAGAAGCTAACTGTATGGGTTCTCCTCGAATGGGTGAGTTTGATTTTGATAATCGTTGCTTTAATTTGTAGCCTTACAATTTCATATTTGAGAAAGAAGACTATTAGGAAACTTATGCTGTGGAAATGGGAAGTGTTTTGATACTAATATGCGGAAGGCTGGTATCAAGGTGGGTTGTTAGCGTATTTGTGTTTTTCATTGAGAGGAATTTTTCATTAAGGAAAAGGGTTTGTATTTTCTTTATGGGTTGAGGAAGAAAATTCAGAATTGTTTGTGGTTGGGCCTAATTTTGATTGCTTGGCACAATATGTTCAATAAGAAGGTTGTGAGGGAAATTACCAATGGTACAGATCTTAATTAGAATTGTGACAAGGGTTTTGGTTTTTCTTGTGGTGGGTGTGATGTTATAGCTTGTGAAGACTATTTTGGTAATGGTGTTTGCATCTTCTTTTAATTTGAGCACATACTTTGACAAAATATCCTAGATTCTTTGTTCAATCGATATGTACTTGAGGACATATAATTTGAATGCGCCTCAATCACATACTGATTGAACAAAGAATCTTGGATTCTATCAAAACTATATGCTCGTATGAAAAGAAGATGAAAGCACCTTCACTAAAAGGACTCTTCATCAGCCATAAAATCACACCCACCACAAGACAAACAAAACCTTTGTCACAATTTTAAGGGCTGTACTATTGATTTCCCTAGCAACCTTTTATCAAACAAATTGTGCCAAGCAATCAAAACCAAACCCAACTACAAATAATTTTGAATTGTCTTCCTCAACCCATAAACAAAACACAAAACCCTTTTCCTCAAAAATTTTTTATCTCAATGAAAAACACATTTATTCTAACAATCCACCTTGATATCAACCTCCTACATATAAGTAACAAAATCAAGATTTCTCATTTCCACAAACATAAGTTTCCAAAGAATTTCTTTCTTAAGAATATGTGATTATAAGGCTGCAAATTAAAGTATCAATTATCAAACTCACTCATTTGAGCAAAACCCATATAGTTAACTGCTCCTTCAAATCCTCAAGCAAGTCCCGCTCAAACAACAAATCATCGTCCTCCTTCACAGTTTTCCTAATAGACCCAGATCTCATTATCTATCCACACCATCCCGCACGCCCCTGCATTTGCCGACCTTGGCACCCTCTTTCAAGGGTTGCCAAACATGCATGCGCTAGCAAACAATATCACCCTTTCCAAATCCCTATCTGCAGCCAGATTATATAGATTATATTAAAAAAAGAAAAAGAAAAAAAGATGCAGTGAGATTGGTAAAAAGATCTGAAACAACCTTGTTAAAAAACAGAAAAATTCATAAATAATATAAAAAATAAGAAAATTAAGCAATCGAGTTACAGAAGCATAAAAAGACAATCCGTTACTCTATACAGTCGCAAACACAATGCACAAAAAATTAATTGTTTTCACAGTCCAAAGAGTTTAAGAGTTTAGAATGTGTTTGTTAACGCCAGCAAAATTGCAAAAGATTAAGGAAAAAAAAATAAAAAAAATCGCCAGAAAAGAGGAAAGTATTACATCGTTTTCTTCCTTTTTTCTTTTTTTTTTTCCTCTCAGAACCCTCTATCTCCGCCAACTTCCTACCCTAATAATCAGCTCCAAACAAAATCTAAGCTATAACCAGTCATCAACATCTCCATCTGGCAAAAAATTAGAAGGCTTCAGTGGAAATCAAGTAGCAATTAATTTGAGTCTCTACAGCCTTATATGGGTTAAAAAAAGAGAGTAAAAATAAAAGAACAATTAAAAGCTTTAACTACAAAATACAACTGCATACACGGATCAAAAAAAACAGATTAGGAATAAAATTAATCCTAATCAACATGGGACCTTTAAATCAGGACCTATGACTGTCCCAAGCAAAAATTGAGATTTCTTCAGCTTTCAACCATTACCTTTCCTACACCCACACTTCTTTTGTGAAATGAACCAAGCAGAACCACATATGAGAATGGATTAGGCGTAAAACCTGTTGGAAAGACTTGATTTATACACAACAATTTATAATCATAATTTACCTTTGGTTTCAATTGTTTTAGCAAATATCTTTTAAATAGTCCAAGTTCTGACCTATTTTACAGGAACTGAACTCCTAAACTGAAGCTACGACTTGAACTCTGTATTTTAGGTATAGTTGGAACAGATTCCCTATATTTGCTACTTACGTAACAAATTATGAGATGATAATCTAAAAGAGTTTAAATTGAAGTTAAGCAGGAATTTTTTACTTTGT